GTGTGTGTGTGTGTGTGTGTGTGTGTGTGTGTGTGTGTGTGTGTGTGTTGTAGAACGTATGTACAGACGGTGTAGTTTTTCTTCGAGAATTTGTGACGTATCCTCGAGAATGAACGTCAATTGATACTACGCGGGCAGCTCGATTGAACGATCTTTCCCACAGCTATCTGCTTCGTGAAACATCGAGCCGCTTCTGTTAACGTCGGCTAATTCGCTCCAAGAACTGCGAAATATCTTCCTAGATCTCCTTCTGTTGCTGCATCTGGGATGATGACAACTATTGTTATTATGGCGAGTTATCGTCCGATTCGCTTCACACAGGCAAAGAGGTTTACATTTTTGGGAATTTATCGAGACGTATTCTCGAAGACGGAAACGATGCGTGGCTCACAATGAGGGCTCATTGATCTTTCTGACTTTTCAATTAATCGTTCTGCTTCTGACCACTGGCACAACCGTGGAGAAGGCGGCACGCTTTGAACGTAACCATCGACGGCCATTTATCTCCAACAAACATACTTGGGAAACGAAAATATTCTTCGTACTCGCTTTGTGTTTCGAGTGAAAAAAGTAAAGGTAATAAGTTTTTTGCGAGAACAGAGGGGATAATTCTTGTTCCAACTCCGAAATTTCCTCGAATTTATGTTTGCGAAGAATTTCGAAACTGCCCTAGAGCATAAAGATTCAGAAGCAGAATTTCTTGCGAGAAATCTTCTCGGGCTTGTGTAAGACGATTGGTCGACGATATGTGTTTCAAAGTAGTACATGCCTGGCATGCTGAGAGAGCTAACTTTTATTTTACTGTGGTACAAATTACACTGTTATTGTTTTGACACAGCCGCAATGCCTCTGTCGAAGCGGCTTACGGCTTCTGCAATCGTCAGAGTGATTAACCAGGGACGATTTCGGTCGTCGACACAACACCGTTACAGGTTCTTCGTACGCGACTGTCGTCGCAAGAAGAAATTTCCAACGACCGAATACTTTCGCTCAGATGATTGGAATCGTCTATCACTCATATCTTGCATGTCGTTGTGCTCACATTTATTCTCGAGTTTCTCTTGTTCAAACTCTTAAATGCCCTCTTCCGAATCAAGACCGGTGTCTATCAGATTCACCTTTGTGTAAATCTATGGAAGTCCGACTGTGATCATTGACGTGGAGAAAATGATCGGATATAACGGATCTTGCCTTGATTTTATTATACGTTAAGCTAATCGAGAGTGCTGTAGCTCTCCTGTCTGTACTACGCGATGATTGAATATCGACGATATGTCGTGGCAATATTGACGGCAACTAAAAGCTGTGAGTGACTTTACTAGCTCAACTGTTGAACTCAATGTTACTGATCTGTTCTGTCGAATTCACACTTTTAAACATTTCAGTTTCCTGCAGTGTCTGGGGATTTTTCTAAGCCGTGTTACCCGCATTTATGAATTCTTTGATTAGTTGTATACTGTAAGTTTATTTGCAGGAAATGTTTTGAAAAATCTGCTGTACTTCAAAGTTTTATTGTTGATAATGGTATATTATTTATCTATAATGGTTGATCTATAATGGTAGATTATAATGCTATATTTCTTCGACGTTGTAATTACCTGTATTCCTTATTAGAGGATTTCTGTGATTGCGTTTGTATGATCAGCTGAGGGATTCTTGTGTGTGTGTATTTGTTGATTGTAAGCATGTTTCCGGTACAGCAGACGCACGAAGCGGAAAGTTTTCTGCAACCTCCCCTGTCCTCTCATTTGCCCGAGTAATATTACGCATTTCGAGATTGTACTCGCCATTTCGCTGCCCGTCTTTTGTATTTTCACCGTTCTCTTCCCCATTTTCGTTTGTGCACATCAAGATTCGAAGTGCAGAAAGAAGAAAATGTCTGCGACCAATTTCTTCAATTTTAAATACTGGCCACTGCCAACTTGTTACAATACCGCGCAGCTCTTCTTGTGTCCCCTGAAAGAATTGTCAGGTGAGAGACACTTGACAATTCTTTTGAAGAAGTGAGCACATTCCAGACTTAATTCGAGTACCAACTCACCGAACCGCGTCCGCGTAGTCCCGATTCCGCAAATTACCGATCATATTCGACGATTCCAAATACAATATGTTCTCCAAACTACGCTTTGTAGTCTCCATTGCCTTTGATTAGCCCCCGTCTTCCCTGTCTGGCATCATCTGAAGCGCTTTCGCTCCTGTTCGTCGAATCATTCGACAATCTCGGCGACCCATGGAATCGAGTATAAAACACGAGATGTCACCACAAAATCTGACAGAGCGGACGAAGAAGAAATTTTCCGAGAATAAGGCTGAAGGCTGTCACGTCATAGCTGCTTCCTGATTACAAATGTGGCTGTACAATGCCACGATGCCATCCAAAGACGTTCCACAGCATAAGTTTAGCGTCCGTTTATCACGTCTATCAAGATGGAAACTGATTCTCGCCAACACTCGAGGCTTTCCAACGCTTTTCATCGCGACATCACGTTCTGAAAATTCGAACGTCAACACCGATCGGCAAACAAGCCTGTAATTTCGCGAATCAAGTGGCGTCGTATCGAATACGCGTCGAGTACGCGTCGAACACGCGTCTTTATACATTCCTATCGTATTGTCCACTCGCTTCGTTTTCGATACTTGGTTATCTTATTCTTCATGCAAATCGGACGAGTGTGTGATTGCATTCACGAATGAATCGAAACAGGCGTCCACTCTTATCGTTCGCTAGTTTCCCTCTTCATTATACTCCCGTCTTTTCCATTATACAACACGTCCAGTTAATCTTCCAGATGAAGCGCGGCGATCTACTTGACAGGCAATCGAATATGGGACACGTGACGCCGGGAAGATTTCCCTCTATTGAGGAAATTTCAACTCCCCGGAATCTGCCATTCCAACGTTCCTTTTTATTAGTTATTAATAACTAATTGTTAAAAACTAAAATGATGTCATGCTGTCACGTTGTCTTGCGGACTCGAGACTATTTGGACGAGTGTTCTCCACGATGCGAAGTGCATTAACGCTGTTGCTTCTATCATCGCGATACTCATATCGTGTTGTACTTACCGCGACAAACCCCGACAAGCTCCGATGTTTAAGCATCATTATGCTCGTCTAAACTTTTATTGAGAAACTCGCGTTCAAATTGCCATGGAATGAATCTGTGAGGCTTTGTCGTGGAATGAATATTGCCAAAAAATCGTTGCATGCGCTCACCCTTCAATGAGCCACCGATGATTCTTCAGGTAATTTTAACACAACCAGAGATTTGACAAAGAGGAAATATCCAACGCCCGAGATGAAATCTTTTCAGATTTTCGAAAAAATTTATTCCAGCTTCGTTTTCTCGGGAGGAATCAGTTTCGTTTAGATTCATGCAATTTCATGTCTTCATTCGCGCGGAAAGAAAGAGAATAAGAAAAATAAAAAGAGGAAATTGGACGATCTCCTCGATGGTGGACTCAGACGAGTAAGCCCGTCAGTGGCAGGAAGAATCCATGTTAAATGCTATCGGAAGCAAGTGTAGCTTGTTGCGCACGTTATTCGTTGTATAATATACGAATACATTTTGTGGAGGGTCGTTTATGATGGGTTGGGAGTGCAGACGTCGCCAAACTCTCCGCTTCGCCGTTTCACCCCTCTGTTGGCAGGGTTGCACACCGACCAATTTGTGTCGAGGTGGAGCTTAAGCCGCACCACAGCGTCAGAAGCGCTTCTTTTTCGTGGAAGGCCTTCCTCTGTTTCATCTACACTTACGCCCTTTGTGTTCACCCTTTTTACCTAATATATATACGATACAGTAGCTTTTCCAAAGCCCCGGGGCCGAAGCGCCGTTCGAAATTACTGATACATGCCTTGGACATTCGTCCACGCCTTTCTCCCCTTTCCTTTCCCTGTTTTTCTTTTCTTTTCAATTTCCTTCCTTTTCCAATTATTTTGTTCGTATGGCTCAGTTTGCCCAACTTCGAGTAACTGCATTTTCCATTGAACTAAACTAGGATGAATTTTCGTTCCAGAGCCAGGTTTGAATGCAACCAAATTGGAGCAGTTACATCTCGTTCACAGGTCTGCCAGCGAATGCAAGTCGATCAAATTTCCTTCTCCCGCTCATCTTCGATCTAACCAATATATTCTTCCAAATTCTAAGTTTGCTTAGATTACGTTCTTCTTAAATTACGCGGACAAT